TTCGTTGTTGGATAGAATGCTCTGTATACATCTATGAGGTCAAGTTGGTTGATTATGTTGTTTGGTTCCTCTGTAGCATTGTTTAGTTTCTTTCTGGTTGTTCTATCCCTTTTCGAGAGCAGTATGTTGAAATCTCCCACTGTATCTATTTCTTTACCCAATTCCATAAAGTTTTGCTTTGTGTATCTTGGTGCTCTTTCATTGGGAGTGTATATATTTATTATGGTTATGTCGTCTTGCTCAATTGACCCTTTGATCATGAAATAGTGTCCTTCTTTGTCTCTTATGCTGGTTTTTAACTTAAAGTCTAATTTGTCGGAGATTAGTATTGCCACTCCTGCTTGTTTATTATTGTTGTTAGCTTGGAAAAAAATTTTCCATCCTTTTAGTCTGTTTTTTTCTGTGTGTGTAAGGTGTGTCTCTTGCAGGCAGCATTTTGATGGATCTTGTTTTCTTATCCATTCTGCCACTCTTTGTCTCTTCATTGGTGCATTCAATCCATTGACATTAAATGTAATTATTAGTAAGTATGAAGTGATTGCTGTCATTATGTTACTTTTTTGGCAGTGCTGTTCGTTCTTTGGTTCTGCTTTCCTTCTTTTGTTGGATTTGTTTTTTTGAGCTGTTTCTTGTCGGTTTCTTCCTAGTTTCTATGTTCACTTGTTTTGGTTGGGAATTCGTTTTTATGATATGTTATGGAGTGTTAACTTTCTTTGGGGTTACCTTGTAGTCTACTAACTTTTCTCTGCATTTAGGATACTCTATTATAACCTGTAATTTACCTGGCATCCCCACCACCTGGGCTCATGTTGCTGTGTTTGTCCCTTCTTTGACATTGATATATGTTTGGTCTTCAGTTGATCTCTCTGTTCCTTTGAGTTTGTTGTTGTAGTCTTTTTCTGTTCTGGACTCTGCTATCTGTTGGCTGTGTTCCAGGTGGTGTTGCCACAACTGTCAATCTGTTTGTTGTTTGTTCTTGTTGGTTCTCAGTCCACCAAACTCCCTTTAGGATGTTTTGAAATGCTGGGTTGATAAAATCTCTCAGATTCTGTTTATCCTGGAATGTTTTGATCACACCATCATATTTGATTGATAGTTTTGCTGGATAGACGATTCTTGGTTTTTTTTTTTCTTGCAGGGCTTTGTATATGTCTCCCCATTGCCTTTTTGCCTGCATGGTTTGTTCTGAATAGTCAGAGCTTAATCTAATTTGCTTGCCTTTATAAGTTGTATTTCTCTTCTCCCTGGCCACTTTTAGTATTCTTTCCTTGTCTTTGATTTTGGAGAGCTTGATTATTACATGCCTCGGAGACAAAATTTCTTTTGGGGTCTATCCTTCCTTGGGTATGTTGGGCTACTTGAATGTTTATCTTCTCATCTTTCAAGATGTTACCAACTATCTCCTCTGTGGACTTCTCTGATTCCCCTTGTTCCGGAATGCCAATACTACTTACATTATTCTCTTCATGTTATCCAGCATGAATCTTAAGACTCTCTTCATTTTTTCAAATCCTTTTAGCTGCTTGCTCTTTTATCTTGGTAGTATTGAGAGATTTGTCTTCCAGCTCACTAGTTCTGGCTTCTAGCTTTTCTAGTCTGCTCCTTTCCCCTTTCAGCTTATTGTCCATTTCTGATATCTTATTATTGATCATCTGGACATCTTTTTGCAGGTTTTGAATTGTTTCCAATGCTGTGTCAATCCTTTTTGATTGTTCCTGCAGTACTTTCATTACTTCTTATTTCCTTCGACCCTTAGCCTATTTGTTTTAGTTGCTGCTGTATCCAAACACTGAAAAGATGCTTACGAAATGAATTTTTGAAGTCACTGGACATTAGAGAATGGAAAGGAGATAAATGACAATAGCATCTACTGATAAAGTGCTAATATGGGTTTCAAAATTTGAACTATGTGTATCTACTTTATATATATATATATGAAACATTTTTTAAACCACACAAAAAATTTTGAGTGTGAATGAATGGAGGTTTGATTTATTTCAAATTGTTTTCCTTGAAAATTTGGGTTGCATTATCACTATTGTGCTCTATTTAAAAAAAAAAAAAAAAAGTTCTATTCTTTAAGAAACAATACCTAAATTTTGCTTCTGTAAATTCTGTAAATTGGGTAGTTGAGACTACTGCATAGAAAAGCTACTACATTTATGATTAAATTATAGTTGAGACATTCAGGTTAACAGAAGATCACAGATTGCCTTAAAAAAGAAAAAGAAAGTTCAGTCTTTCTACATATTACTTTCCAACACTTGCCTTCTCCCCCGTTGTTGTTAAGTGCCACTGAGTTGGTTCCATCTCACAGCAACTCTGCATAGGGTTTCCGAGGAGCAGCCAACCTTGTAGTTCATAGTCCAGTACTGATCCTATAGTGCCACACCAGGAGTCCCCTAGACAAGTTTAACACTACTGTCTTATCAGGTCACAGATGGCCATCTTATTATTGGTATGGTTATCCTTCTGGGCCGTTTTTCCATAACCTAACCTATCTCTATTATGCAGTCCTGGTGTGGCACTGTGGGCTAATGTGCTGGACTGCAAAGTCATTTGAGCCGCACGGTTGGTGGTTCAAGCTAACCAGTTGCTCCTTGGAAATCCTATATAGGGTCATTATGGGTCGGAACCGATGCGACAGCACTTCACAACAACAACATCTGTTTACAGCAATTAGTTTAACTACAGTAAAACTATGGGAACCCAAACTTGATCAGACTGACTTTGTTTTCTGGGTCTCAAAGTTTTCTGCTATTGTCAGGGTTCAGTCTTACCACATTTTCATTGCTCTTTTTAGTGGAAAAGTATTTGAATTTTCCTTCTTGACAAGTTTACAGGTTTTGGCTTTCAGAGGTTGTACTGTGTAAGATCATTGTCTGCTCCACACATTCAGCTCCAAGACGGAAAAAGCTATTTTTATTCATTTTCAACCAAAGGAGTCTAACAAAGTGCTGTGCACAAAGCAAGTGTACAGTATCCAGACACACACACACAGTTTGTGGGATGGCTGCACAAAACAAATGGGCCAGATTTTACTTCATATTTCAAAATTCAGAGAAAGTAGTTTGCAAAGGGAAGACCAACAGTAGATCACTGCAGACTGAATACCAAGAATCATTCTATTTTCCCACCTTCAAACACTGTAAAAATTCAAATTAAGTCCCAATGTGAAGAACATGACCAAATAAGTAACAAATGCTTTTAGAAATACACATCTACAAACAGAACTTCCCTACCAGGGCGAGAGCCCACCACCACTTGATTATTCTAAGGTTAATTCAAGACTCACAAATTGTACAATTACTTATACTGCAAAATAAAAACACTATATAAACAAACCACAAATTCAGTTTAATTCTTTTTCTCTTACACCATTTCAATAAACATCACAAGTTGCCATTTCATTTAATATCTGGAACATTTTACATTGTTTATGAAGTAGCTACTTCCAGAATAATCTCCTCCACACTGTCTCTCTGATTACCACTACAACGGCTACTATCACACTTGTGATTCAGCAGGAACCGTACAGCCAAACCACATGATTAAAACTTGTGATCTCTTCTAGCCTGAGACCTCAGATCCCGGGTTATAACCTTGACACTGCCTTCAAATTGAGATGCTTTGTGAATACTTTTCTTAAAATGGGGCTATTTAGTGTATTTCCTTTTTCTGGAGTGTTTTTGATACAAAAACATATATATATATATATATGTAATTATATTCCACAGAAGAATTTTAAAAAGCATTAAAATAATGATAGTCTTTTTTATATAACTTAAATGATAAAACTAACTAAAAGATGCCCTTTACTTTTTTTTAAAACACAGAGTTCTGTTGTTTGAAGTAAAGAGAAAAGCTTTGTAACAGTTTCTGAAACTTGATTAGAGTTCAAAGAACCTCTATAACGTTTAAGTGCCCTTTAAATACAGTTTAACTTACATTAATATTTCATTATCAAAAATAACTACCATAGAAAGAGTTTAAATATGCAAAAGTAATTAGTTCATTAAAATTTACACTTAATACACTGCTATTTATGAAAATATGTAGTTGCCAGACAAATTCTAAGGATGAAAGTGGAAGTAAAGAAAGCTTCCTTCATGCTTCATTTATTGCTACATAATTACTACTTCCACCAAGGCCATCTGGCCTGTTATCACTCACTCTTAGAAGTGTAAATACAGTGGTCTACTTTGGAAGGGAAGTAGGGAAAATAATCTACTGTAATAGAAAAATATCACCTATTTATAAATTATTAAAGATTTATTATAAAACACATACCAAGTCATATGTTCTCATTATAAAAAACAATATACTTAAATATAGAAGCACAAGGTCCAGAAGCACCCACAATTATTTTAAGTATGCCCATTTAATCAAGAAAAAACAAAAATAGTTATATAATTTGAGAAGAAAAAAAGGTAAAATTCTGATTTTAATCCAAACAATCAGTTTGTCTAATCATGGAGGTAGGTCTCCACTCAAATTACACAGTAAGTTATCTGGTTTATTCAAAGAATTATCACTTAAGTGTCTGATCTGAAAACTGGGCTATGCCACTGAAATACATTTTTAACAGACTTTAGAAGCCAGAAATCTAATTGGCATATACACAAAACTGACTCTTGCTTCACAAGGTTACATCTGAAGATAGCCTTCATTAAAACTGCTAATGGCATAAAGAGGTATAACTAAGTGCAGATACTTTGGCTGAGCACTTAATGACACAGTAAATGACACAAATTTTCTTAGACAGGAGAACCCTTGTTTTTTAACCGCTTGTATTAAGTATAAAGCTTCAAAAACAGAATCCCTTAAATTTTTAGTTTTAAATATTGTGTTAAAGATTTAAAAAGATCATTCCTGTCTAAAAACCAAACCTTACGTGTTTCAAATATCAAACATATTTACTTTTAGTGTGCATATTTAGTGCAAAGTACTTCAGCTTTAGTGCCAGAGTTCTAACAAACCACTTCCATCACGTCCTAGTGCTAAAAAAGATTCTCCATAATGAAAAAGACTAATTCTATTTCTAATGGTAAACTAGTAGAGTTGGAGGTCCCACTATGGATCACAGGGATCAGAGCACTATCAAGATCATTTAGATAATGCTGAGGGAGAAGACGGCCTTCAGATCCTGCCTGAAATTCAACCTGAAAGAGAAGAAGAAAAGAAAAATTCATGGTCAGCCTTTGAAGATGAACAATTTTGTCCAGCTCAGCAGATGAATAAAGACATCAAAATTTAAAAAATACCATTCATTGCTAAAACACTTGATATTTTATGTACAAATAAATGTTCTGCATTCTCCTACATTTTTTGTACCCATAAACTACATAAATTATCATTTTCCTTCCCACAAATACTACAAAAATAAAAAGTAAAAAATGTTCCTAGTTCATACTTTGATTGAAGGACCAAGGCTTTGATAAATGACCAATATGACTAAATGAAAACCTCACACTATTAAAAAAATCCACTCTTTAAAGATTTCAAATTTGTCATTGCACTTAATACAGTGGCTGGTGTATTGACTAAAAAGGAAATATTGACAGTGTTTTTTCAAATAACAAGGAGTCCCGCTAGGTAGTGGATTATAAGCAGGCTGGCTAACTGCAAGGCCAGTAGTTTGACCCTCCCACTCTCTCTGTGGGAGAAAGACAAGACTCTCAGAAACCCTATTCAGGGTTACTATGAGTCAGAACTGAGGCGATGGCACTTACAACAACATCATGAAATATGAACTGAAAGTTACAGAGAAACAAATGGCTTTTACAAGTTAAGATGATCATTACTATCACTCATTATAAGAGAAATGTATATGAAAAGAATAACAGGGAGTGGGGTACCACTTTTCACCTATCAAATGGGCAAAATTCAAATGTTTATTTGCATACTACCTTGGTAAAGGGGAAGGATGAACTTTATTAAAAATGCTGGTGGAAATATATGTTAGCATAACCTCTATTTGTGGGCATTTTGGTAATATTTCTTGTGTATACTGATGGAGAAAGATGAAGTTTTCTGCTCCCGCAAAGACTTAAACAGCCTCAGAAACTCTATTCAGGGTCATTTGTTATAAGTTGGAACTGACTCGACCAACACTTAACAACAACAACATTCAATATACACTTAGATCTGGCAACTCTACTTCTAGGAATATTTCTTGTGGCTATACTAAGATGTACAAAACAGCAAAATAGTGGACAACCTAAATGTCGATCAACACATACTAAACTTGCATGGAAAACTAGTTAAATAAACTATGGTGCATTGATATAATTGACCACGAAGGAACAGTTAAAACGAATACATACTAACATGGAATAATATCTCGAAGATGCATAAAGTGAAAAAAACCAAGTTAAAACAACAACACTGTAAATTCCTTTTTAAAATAGGACATACACATGTATTTATACATACATAAAAATCACAATAATACATTGAAAATGAGTAAACTGAATGCCTAACTGGAAAGGGGAAATGATATTTGGAGGTGGGATAGGGGACCGTGAGCCAAAAAGAGGAGCGAGATCTTTCCAGGGCTGCTGCCTTGCACAGCACTGGTGGATACCACTTACATCGCAGTATGCAGTTTACATCTCCAGGGCTCATCGGTTATACAGAAAACGGTGTCAATGCTGCTCTCTGAAGATGTTATGTACATAGAGTTAAGACTTTTGTCTTTTAAATTATGGGAAAACACAGGCTCCAGTTAAACAGGTAGGATTGTTGTAGAGCAAGGGTGGCAAAGGATGTATGGGCTAAATCTGGCCTGACAATTGTTTATGTAAATAAAGAGTTTCATTGGAACCAGTCACATTCATTTAAATCAGGGGTGGGGAACCTCTGTTTCTGCCAAAATTTGTAACATAATTTGCAGGCCATACAAAATAATCAACTTAAAATTAGCCCACTGTAATTGGTGAAACATTAAATTAACTCACCCCTAATATGACGGCTGGAACTGTGGTTCTCTTGGCAGCCCCAGACCAAATGATGTCTCAGGTCTCATAAGGCCTGCAGGTTGGGATGTTCCCCACCCTATTGAGATACTATTTACACACATGTGGCCATTTTGGCACTACAATGGTAGGAGTAATTATGACAGAAATCACAGGGGCCACAGGTGCTAAAATAATTTCCTGTCTGGTTCTTTCCAAAACAGTTTGCTAAACCTAGTTATGGAGATCAACAAAACTTAGTTCTCTTTTTTCGACCCACAATAAAAGATTAAAGAAAAAAACCTGATTATTACCACTTTCTCTGGTATTATTATTATCTGAATATATATTTACTTTAAACATACACTAAACAAGCATGCCTCACCATATCAGTGTCAATGGAAACCCTGAGTCCAATCTTATTCATCCCATTACTCTTGAGAGTTTCCAGATGAGGGCACAGTGCAGCACTACAAGCCATGGCGATGGCCTTTGCAAACTGATAACGAGTTGGTGAACTAGGTAAGTCCTGCTGGTCCTTTAGGAAGTAGAACACCTGAAATGTAGTTAATTAGAAAACAAGTCATTAAGATGAGAACTGAAAAAGTAAAATTGTTGTTTTCAACTTATTAATAAAATTCCAGTGTTAGTATTATGAAATTCACTAGTTAAGAGCATTCTAGATCTACTTCCCAATGTAAACTATAAATAAAATCTTAAAACCAAAGGTTATGGAATACGGAAACTGTTTAGCTATTTTTGCCTATAGTTAATTTGTAGTAAAAAAAAAGTCTTGTTAATTCAGTTTAGAGAAGAATATTAATTAGTAAGATGACCATCCTGTAAAACTATCTGTGAAGTCAACATCAAACAATAAGGTCATGGTGTAGAGCCTCCCATCCAAGTTACTGACCCAGAGAAGAATCAGGTAAAAATAAGACTTAACATGAGTCAATGTTGCTTTTAAAAAAATAAGTATTTTATTGACATCAATTAATAATCAATATTCACATATGAAAGACATTTTCACATGATCCAAATCTTTTGTGTAAATTAAGAGCAAAATGAAAATCATACTAGAGTGCAGTGAATTATTTATTGTTTCTTCTAGCTTTAATTTTTACAAATTCCAACCCAACAGTATTTTTGCCCTGATGGATCTGAATAAGATGCTGACAAGATGAATGACTCAGATGTGAGTGGTTAACAGGGTTGTGACTGTCCAACTTGAAATTCTAACGTGGCTAATAAACCATCTCACAAGCAGGTAGGGGGATCTCACTACCATTAAAGAAGGTGGCCCCAGAGCAGAACTCGTCCTTTGGACCCCAAGATCCCTGTGCATTGAACCTCCTGAACCCAGGGACAGAAAGCTATGGCATAGGAGGCGTAGCAGGAACAGAATCAAGAGTATGAAGCACAGCAGTGGGGTTTCCAGCCCATGGAGCAAGTAAAGCTCAGTGACTTTGGGCAGGATACTTGCTTGCAGAGTGGGGTGACTCCAGGCAATTAATGGGGGTGGGGGAACTAGGTTTGCTGACCCACAGAGCTAAAGTTGAGTGTCTTCAGACTGAGGCTGATGGTGGAGTGGTGTGTCCTGTGGGGACACTGCAGAAGCAGGGCAGAGGCCAGGCCACAGGGTCGAGAGCCAGAGGACAGCCTGTCTGTGGGCAGTGCATAGGAGAGGCTGTCCTGACTGGAAGAACAGTTCCCTAAATATTTCTCACCCTGACCTGTAACCTGTCAACTACCCTAACAAGCCCCGTAACTATGAGAATGGTATCTGAGAGCTCTGTGTGGCCTTTTAATTATCTAACCTAGTTGAGTACTGAGTGCTATGGTTAGAATGGTTTGATGTAATTTTTGCATGACCAGTTGTCTGCCAATTTGTTGTATTGTGGGGGCTTGCATGTTGCTGTAATCTATGCCACCAGTATCTTAAGTACCAGCACGGTCACCCATAGTGGACAGGTTTCAGTGGAGCTATCAGCCTACGACAAATTAGGAAGAAGGAGAGGCAGACCACTTCTAAATGTTAGCCACTGAAAAGTTTATGAACAGCAGAATATTGTCAGACAGTGTCAGAAGATGAAAAAAGTTCATCAATGGGCTAAAGCCTAACAAAGTTTGTGAGGATGGTGTAGGACTGGGCAGTGATTCATTTTGTTGTGAATAGGGTCACTAAGAGTTGGAGTCAATTCGATGGCACTTAAAAACACAACAACATATCGATGGTATTTACAATACCAGCAAGGTCACCCATGGTGAACAGGTTTCAGTGGAGATACCAAACTTAGAAAGACTAGGAAGAAGAAGAGGAAGACGATTCCAAATGGTTTGACAATGAGAGTGTTATGAGAAGCAGCAGAACACTGTCAGATAAACTGCTGGAAGGTCAAACATGATGAACAGCAGCGGAACACTGTCAGGTATAGTGCCAAAAGACAAGGTACTCAGATTTGGAAGGCACTCAAAATACAACTGGGAAAGAGCTGCCACCACAAAGTAGAGTTGACCTTAAGGACATAAATGGAGCAAACCTTTCAGGACTGTCATTTGCTGATGGGACACTACTCAAAATGAGGAGCAGCAGCTGCAAACATCCATTAAGGATTGGAACATAGAATGTACATGAAGCCACAAAGGACCTTTTAAGATCTGGCTTGAAGTACAATGCTATCTGTGACAGGATAATATCCAGACGCCTAAAAGAAAAACCAATTAATACCACTGTTAATTCAACTCTATGTACCAACCACTAAAGCCAGTGATGTTAGAAGTAGAGAAGTCTACAAACTTCTTCAGTCTGAAATTATCAAACATACAATCAAGATACAATAATAATTATTGGTGAATGGAAATGAGGTTGGAAACGAAGAAGATCAGTAGTTGGAAAATAGGGCCTTGTGAAAGAAATGATGCTGGAGACCACAGGAAAGAATTCTGCAAGACCACTGACTTATTCAATGCAAATACCACATGGATGATATACGATGAAATACACAGGAACCACACTGACTACATCTGTGGAAAAAGATGGTAGAAAAGCCCAAACATCAGTCAAAACATGACCAGGGAGAGACTGTGGAACAGATCATCAATTGCTCATATGCAAGTTCAGCTTGAAGCTTTAGAAATTTAAAACAAGTTGACAAAAGTAAAAATATGACCTTTAATATATTCCACCTGAATTTAGACGCCATCTCAAAAACAGATCTGATGCATTAGACACTAATGACCAAAAATCAGAGGGGTTGTGGGATGAAATCAAGGACATCACACAGGAAGTAAACAAAGGTCTTTTAAAAGACAGGAAAGAGGGAGACTTCCGGAAAAATGGAGGACTAGCAAGACCCACTACATGGACAATCTAGAACAAAGATACAAGATATAAAATAAAACAGACACAGATAAAAATCCAGGCATCCTGAACTTCAGAAAAGATGTGAACAGAATACCTGCTAGGAAGAGAAGCCAAGCAGGGACCACAAGACAGGGAGACTGGTGAACAGCTGGCCAGATGCAGTTCAAAAACCTTGTGAGCAACTTTTGCAGTGGAGGAAGACCTGGCAGAGCAGATTCACATGGGCCACGGAAAAGGAGTGATTTCTTCTTTACCCCACACTCCCTAGAATTGTGGCCATGCTCCACCCTGTTTTCTGGAAGTTCTGAGTCACACGGTTGGGAGCCTTGCTGGCTTGAGGTGGGGGTTAGCTGAATCACTTTGGTGTACCACTGTGGAGCCTGGTTCTAGGTGGGCTCGGCTCCAGACCTATAAAACCTGCAATGCCAGCAGACCAGCACACTGCCCCCAGCTTCTCTGTGATCCTAAGAGATACTGAAACCAGCTCCATCAAGGGCTCCCACAAACTACTTCTGAAGTGAGTGCCCTGAACACAGGTAACACTGAGGCCAATAGGAACTCCACATGGGGCCAGGACCTCTGCTGTCACAGTCCTCCCACACCTACCTCCTGAGCACTTTGAACTGCAGGAAACCACCAGCATTCTGACTTCTATGGAGCATTCTGATGTACCTCTTCTCTTCCAACACAAATCCACAGTACTTTCAATATTCTAGTCCAACAGTGTAATTCAAATGCACTGATTCTTCTATAGTCTTCCTTATTCACTGTTCAACTTTTACATGCATATGAGGTTAATTGAAAATACCATGGCTTGGGTCAAGCACACCTTAGATATATCATCAAGATGATATATCTGCGATATGACACTTTAAAGAGATTTGCCTAATGCAATATATAATTTGATTTCTTGACTGTTGCTTCCAAGAGTGTTGATTGTGGGTGCAAGCAAAATGAAGTCTTTGACAACTTTAATCTTTTCTTCATTTACCATGATGTTATTTATTGATCCAGTTGTGAGTATTTCTGTTTTCTTTACATCAAAGTGATACCACACTGAAAGCTGTAGTCTTTGATCTTCATCAGTAAGTATTTTCAGTCCTATTACTTGCAGCAAGCAAGTCTATGTATGTCATCTGCAAATTGCAGGTTGTTAATGAGTGTCCTCCAATCTTGATGCTATGTTCTTCATACAATCCAGCCTCTTGGAATAATTGCTCAGCATATAGAGTAAGTATGATGAAAGAATACAACTCTGGCACACACCTTTCCTTACACCCTTCAGTGTTCCCTTGTTCTATTCAAACAAATGCCTCTAGGCCTACGTATAGGTTCCTCATGAGCACATTGTTTTCTGGAATACCCAATCTTAGTAATGTTATCCATAGTTTGTCATGATCCACATATAAGCATAAGTTTCTGCAATAATATCCCTCATTCCACATTCTTTTCTGGTCAAAATGCCATTAGTGCAGACTGAATCTTACTTCAGTACCACACTGGTTCTTGATCACGTGCGCCCTTGTGAAATGGCTGAACATTGACCATTTCTTTTAGATACAGTGACTCTGTGTATTCCTTCCATCCTCCCCACCTCAAGTTATGAGGTTAATTAGGGAAATTAACAGGTTACAATTATAGGTCAGAAATCTTCAGGGCACATTTGTTCCATTCAGCTGCTGATAAATACCCATAGGACAAACCACTCCACCATAAGGCACTTGGCTTTAGCTCTGTGTGTCAAGAAACCTGGCTTCCCTACTTAAGTGACTAGAGGCGCCCAACTCAACAAGTAAGCTTCCTGCCTAAAATCATTCAACTTTACTTGCTCCATGGTCTGGTAAGTCCACTGCTCTAACTCTTGCTCTGGTTCTTGGTTCTGCTGCTGCCTCTCTGTACTCCTCTGGTGTCACAGATTTCTGTCTCTGGGTCCAGGAAGTTAATGCACAGGGATCTCAGGGTCCAAAGGATGCACTCCACTCCTGGTTCTTCTTTTTAAAAAAAAAAAACTTTTTATTGCGAATTGAGTGAAGGTTCACAGAGCAGATCATCAGTTGTACAGTTAACAAATCATATACTTTGCTTTGTTATATGGTTGCAATCCCCTTCGTGTACCAAAAGTTAACAGCATTTACCTTTACCGCTATTCACCATTGCAGTCCTCCCATGTATCCTGCTACTACCCTCATCTTTCCTCTGCTAACCTCCCTCTTGTAAACTGACCGTCCTGTCACCTGTTAACTAGCCCATGAATAATCCTCTCTCTCAACCATCATAGGCTGTTTCTTTCATTGAGCAAACCATTTCTTTCTTTCTTTTTTTTTTTTTTTTAAATTGGTTTCATTCAATGTTCATCCTTTTGTGTTTGACTAATTTCACTCAGCATGTCTTCCAGTTTCAATCATGTTTTGAGGTGTCGCACAGATTTTTCACTGCTCTTCAACATTTTGTAGTATTCCATTATGTGTATGTTCCAATGTTTAACTATTCTGCTGATGGGCATTTAGGTTGTCTCCATCTTTTTGATGTGTTTCTTGTAGACAGCATATTGAAGGATCCTGTTTTCTTATCCATTCTGCTCTGTCTCTTGACTAGTACATTTACCACACTCACATTCAGTGTAATTACCAATAGCTATGAAGTGATTATTGTCATTTTTCTGTGTGTGTGTTTTTTTTTGTGTGTGTGGTATTGCTGTTATTTTTTGTTCTACATAATTTTTGATACTGATTGGTTTTGTTTGTGAGTTTTCTTGTTATTTTAATTTCTGCTCTGTTAAAGATTTACACCCTCGGAAACCCTGTACAGGGTCGCTATGGGTTGGAACTGACTCGATGGCACTTAACAACAACAACAACAAAAGTTTACTAAACCTTTCTGATTTTCATCTTTTTTTTAAATTTTCATGTGCAGGTACATTATTTTTCTTTGTGGTTATCCTATAATTTATTTTTTCCTGCTTAAAATAGTCTGTTTTATTCCTTGCCATTTGAAAGCTCTATATTTACATTATTCCCTCTTTTTGCTTTGTAGTTGATTTCATTACACATTGATATCTCTGGTTCCATATTTTTAGTCTTGTAGGTTTGTTTTACTTCAGTATCCGAATTGAGTTTTGGGTGGTGGTGTCATGTATAGTAATCTCAGGTTATTGTCTGTTGTTGTTGGTTCTCAGTCCAAAGAACATTCTTAAGCATTTTTTTTAAAGTTGGTCTGTTCATTAGAAATTCCTTTAATTTCTGCTTATCAGGAAATGTCTAAATTTTGCCATATTATTTGAGGGGCAGTTTTGCTTGGCATATGATTGGTGGTTGACAATCTTTTTCTCTCCGAGTTTTGTATATGTCACTCCATTGCTTTCTTGCTTGCATGGTTTCTACTTAGAAATCAGAGCTTGATCTTCTTATAGGTTCTCCTTTGTAGGTAACTTTTCATTTTCCCAGAGCGGCTGTCAGGATTCCGACCTTGTCTTGATTTTGGAAAGTTTTGTGTTGGTGATTTTCTTTTGTGATCTATCCTGTTTGGAGTTCATTTAGCATCTTGTATGTTTATCTTCTCCTCTTACATGATGTTAAGGAAGTTTTCTTCCCACATCCTTTCAACAATTTTCTTTGTGTTTTTCTTTCTGTTCTTTAATTCCGATCACCTGTAAGTTGTTCCTCTTCATGATGTCCCACATAACTCTTAGGTTTTCTTCATTCTTTTTTCTAAGTGTTCTTCTAGCATATTAGTATTGAGATTATTTATTTTCAAGCTTACTAATTAGGGCTTCCATTGCTTTGCATCTACTCCTTTGCCCTTTCAAAGTATTGTCCACTTCTGAGATTTTAATGTTAATCTTCTGGATTTCTAATTGTAGGTTTTGTATTGTTTCAAAATTTGCACTAATTTCTGTTTATTTGTTCTTGTAGTGTTTCCCTAGATTCTTCTAAATTTTCATTGCGTTCTCCTTGCTTTCCTCAATCTTTCTATTGATCCTTTGAAGGAACCTAATCATCTTCTTTTAAATTCTCTTTCAGTTAGTTCTACTACCTTTTCTTCCTCAGAAACTTCTTCTGGCTCTGCACCTTGGTCATTTGTTTGAGCCATCCTCTTGTTTCTTCATGTGAGCTACACTTGTCTGTTGTCTCCAAAGCACTATGAAGTTGTTGTGGTTGTAAAAACAAACAGTTCAGTTGTTGAATCTCAAAGGAAAAAAATCTCTGGGATGTCCCTGCAATTCAAGGAGCTCATCAAGTGGTTGTGGAAGGGATGAGACAACAGAATTCCTATTGACCTCAATGTTATTTATGTTCAGGGCACTTAATATGAAAGTAGTTTATAGGGGCCCTTGACGAAGCTGGTTTCTCTTGCAAAGAATTAAGTCTTGGAAATCCTATATAAGGTCACCATGAGTCAGAACTGACTTGATAGTAGTGAGTTTGGTTAGGTAGTGGGCGTATCAAGCACGGTAAAGTGGAGGGTCAGCAAAATAAAGGAAGACCTGCAAGGAGATGAACTGGCACAGTGGCAACAGCAATGGACTCAGGCTTATCAGCAATTGTGAGGATGGTACAGGCATGGGTGGTGTTTCGTTCTGGAGTGCATGTGACTACTGTTGGAACTGACTTTACAGCACCTAACAACAACTACAACAACCTTCATACAACAGGCTACAATAATTCAATGAAAATCCAAATCTGGTTTAAAAATGATAGTTTGGAATGGGGATATGTGTGTCTCAATGTGTATTAAAAAAAAAATTCAAAAAGCTGCATGTAATATTCAGAGAATAAGTATGGGAAAATTTCAAATTAAGAAACAAAAAACATAGCATGTAAAGGGAGAATTCTCTTTCTTGGTTACCTCAGTACATTTTACAATCTTCTCATCAGTTTCAAAATCTGTTTCCAGTTTGATTTTTTCACTTGGAAATCCTTGTAATGATATTCCATCCACTGAACTAATAACACTACAGAATAAAACAAAATATAATAGAATTATTAGTGTCACAGTGCTTTTAATTAAATGAATTATTAGATTTAAACAAATACAATGAAGAAAAAAAAATTTAAGCTATAAATGTAAAGCTGCAAGATATCTCAATTATACACAAAATAATTAAGTCTGTAGCTCACATTCATTTACCAAGATTTCTTGGATTGGAAAGTTACCTTTTTCCCCGGAAAAAAATTGTATCTACTTTATCTTGTGCCCAATCCAGACCTGAAGCTTAAAATACTTTAAATATTCTGCTAACAGAAAAGCTTATTTTATTTTGGAATCCTTTAGCATTAGCCCTCTTCTTTGTTCAGACTCTTACCCAATCTCCAAAAAATACAGAAAACGGCTAAGGAAAGAGAAAGCAGTGGTAGTAACAGTCTGTGAGACCTCTAATTAAACTCAGCTGTTTGTACTGACAATGAATCAATGTAATGCAGAATAACCAACCAAAAGGAATCCTCTGCTTACTTGAACACAAAGAAGTAACTAAGACAAAAAACAAACAACAAAAAAAGGAGCTCTGGTAGCATAGTGGATTATGAGCTGGACTGGTAACTGAAAGGTGAGCAGTTTGAATTCACCAGTCACTCCATGGGAGAAAGATGAGGCGTTCTGCTCCCATAAATTTACAGCCTCGGAAACCCGATCCAGGGACACTATGAGTTGGAACCGACTTCATGGCATACCACCACCACCAAGAAAAAAAAAAAGTGTCTTGCCTTTCTCTGTCTTGACCATCAAACCCACACTGATACACAATGGACCTTTATTATTAGCCATTTCTCAGACTCGCCACACTTTATTAATTTATAATATCCTGCCCAAGAGAATAAAAATGAGTCTTGGTACATAAATGAAAAGGGCAGATTACATTCATCAACTGTTTATAACCATGTTAATAATTCCACGTACATTCTTAAAACACACAATTTTATGAACAGGATGTTTTTACCCAGCCTCCCTATTTTAATAATTAAAAAAATAATCCTACCCTTTGTTTCCTTTTTCTTCAGAATCTACCCAGCAGATATCCACATATTCTCTCAAATCTACAGCATCAACTTTCCCACATGTAATTTTAAAGTCTTTTTGTTCCCGTAGAGCTAGTCGCAAGCCATCCATGGTCTCTGGAGTTATTTGTACCATAAGGCCATCTAGAAATGAGAGTTGTGATTCACATTTCTTAGAACAAGTATCAATTTGTGGATCTAAGCCATAAAACGTACCAACAAAATACAAACTCTGTTAAAGATACAAGTTTTAAATTATCTGTTAAGTCATATTAATATGTTTAGCACTGGAAAGTATTAAAAAAAACATATTCTAGAACATTAAGCATTTCTTACAAAGTTACACAAATTAAGATCAGAATTCTTGCTTCTGCCTATGATGAACTAACTAGTATCAAACTAGCCCTTTCATGACAACTAACCATAAAACATAACAAAATATCTGAGACAACTGTTTTCAGGAGCTGAACAATGAATATCATGTAATCCTGTGATCCCTAAAAGGAAACTCAAGTAAACTATCATATAATTCACATTAAAACATAAAAAAAAAAGAAAAAAGGAAACTCATGAGGTGAGTCCACAACTGTCTGGGCTCTGTGCCTGAAGGTAACTTCCTCACAGTGACCCGTAAAAGCCTTTAGTGGTCTTAATGAACTTATAAATTCATTATAGATGAGAGTTTAGAGAAGCTAAATTGGCTGAAATCTGGGGTAAAAACATTCAAGAGGAGAGAATTTCATAGACAGGCAATCAGACAATTATATATTGGGAATCTGTTTTGACTCCTTGGATTAGGAGCTGAGGGTCTATTAGGTAGGACTAGATGAGGCCTATCAGAGAATCGGTCTTACTTAAGGTTGAGAATCATCACTCTTCTGTCAGTGTGTCGTTTTATGGTGGGGCATGTGTATTATTGTGAATCTGGAAGCTATGCCACCAGTATTTTAAATACCAACAGGGTCACCCAAGGTGGATAAGTTTCAGCTGAACTTCCAGACTAAGACAGAATAGGAAGAAGGAGGGGCAGACTACTTCCGAAAATTTAATGACTGAAAACCTCATGAATAGCAGTGGAACACTGTCAAATAGCACTAGAATATTGAAACATAAAGAACACCACCAGAATACTCTCAGATATATTGCCAGAAAACGAGCCCCTCAGATTGGAAGGCACTCAAATTCGACTGGGGAAGAGCTGCCTCCTCAAAGTAAAGTTTACCACGTTGTTGTTCTTGTTAAGTGCTGTCGAGTCAGTTCCGACTCATAGCGACCCTGTTTAGGATTTCCAAGGAGTGGCTGGTGAGCTTGAACCGCCAACCTTGCTGTTCAAACCAACCTTGCAATCCAGTGCATTAACCCGCAGCACCACAACAGGATAGGACTCCAGAGCTGACCATACTGACGTGAATAAAGTAAAGCATTCAGAACCTTCATTTGCTTATGGGGCACAACTCAAAATGAGAAACAGCTGGAAACATCCATTAATAATCAGAACATGGAATGTATGAAGTAACAATCTAGGAAAACTGGAAGCTGTCAAAAATGAAATAGAATGCATAAACACAGATATCCTAGGCATTAGTAAGCTGAACTGGACTGGTATCGGTCATTCTTAATCTGACAGTCACATGGTTTATTATACTAGGAAATACAAACTGAAAAGGAATAACATCAAAAAGAACATTTGAAGATCTATCTTGAAGTACAATCTATCCATGATAGGATATTATCCATATGCTTACAAGGAAGACCAGTTAACACAAATTTATTTATTCAAATTTACACACCAACCACTAAAGACAGTAATGATGAAATTAAAGAATTTAATTTCAACTTGTTCAGTCTGAAATTCATCATGCATTCAATCAAGATGTATTAATAATTACTGGTGTTTGGAATGCAAAGGTTGGAAATAAAGAGTAACAAAACAATCAGTAGTTGGAAAATATGGCCTGGGTGACAGAAACGATGCTGGAGATCACTTGACAGAATTTTGTAAGACCAATGACTTGTTCATTGCCAATACTTTTTTTAAACAGTATGAAAGACATCACCAGAAGGAATACACAGAAATCAAACTGACTCCATCTATAGAAACAGACAGTGGAGAAGCTCCATGTTACCAGTCAAAACAAGGCCAGAGGCAGACTGTGGCACAGACCATCAAATGCTCATAAGCAAGTTCAGGCTGAAGCTAAAGAAAATCAAAACAAATCCACAAGTGCCAAAATACAACCTTGAACATATCTTACCTGAATTACTCTTAAATATGCTCATATCAAGATTTGATGAATTAGACACCAAAGACCAGAGAAGCTATGGGATGACATTAAGAACATCATACAGGAAAAAAGGTCATTAAGAAGACACGAAAGGAAAAGACCAAAATGGATGTCAGAAGAGACTCTGAAACTTGCCTTATAGTAGAGAGATGCTAAAGCAAATACAAGCAATGAGAAGGTAAAAGAGCTAAATAGAAAATTTCAAAGAGTAGATTGAGAAGACAAGCCAATTATTATAATTAAATGTGCAAAGACCTGGAGTTAGAAAACCAAAAGGGAAGAATATACTCAATATTTCTCAGCTGAGGGAACTAAAGAAAAAAATATTCAAGCCTCAACTTGCAATTGTGAATGATTCTATGGAAAAATACTGAATGATGCAGAAAGCATCAAAAGAAGATAGAAGCAATACACAGAGTTACTGTACCAAAAAGACAGGCTGATGTTCAACCACTTCAAGATATAGCATATTATCAGAGCCAACGAACTGAAGGAAGAAGTCCAAGGTGCACTGGAGACATTGGCAAATAACAAGGCTCCAGGAATTGATGGAATACAAATTTAAATCTTTCAACAAATTGATGCAGCACTGGACGCACTCACTCATCTATGCCAAGAACTTTGGAAAAGAGATCCATATTTGTGCCGATTCCAAAGAGAGGTAACCCAATGAAAGAAGGAAATAATCAATGTCATTAATATCTCATGCAAGTAAAATTTTGCTAAAGATAATTCAAAAACAGCTGCAACAATAAATTGACAGAGAACTTGTTGTTGTTAAGTGCCGTTGAGTCGGTTCCGACCCATAGCGACCCTGTACAGGGTTTCCGAGGGTGTAAATCTTTACAGGAGTAGAAAGCCTCATCTTTCTCCCGCAGAGCGGCTGGTAGTTTCGAACCGCTGACCTTAAGGTTCGCAACCCGATTCGTAACCACTACGCTACCAGAGCTCCTACCAGAGGTTTAAGTCGGATTCAGATGAAGACATGGGATGAGACATATCACTGCTGATGTCAGATGGATTGTAGCTGAAAGAAGAGAATACCGGGAAGATGTTCATTTGTGCTTTATTGACTACACAAAGGTTTTCGATTGTGTGGATCATGAAAAGCCACAGGCAACTTTAGGAAGAATGAATACTCCAGAACACTTAATTGTGCTCATGAGGAATCTGTACATAGACCAAGAGGAAGTTGTTTAAACAGAACAAGGAAACACTGAATGGTTTAAAATTAGTTAAGGCATAATCCAAGGTTGTATTTTTTCACCATAGTTGTTAAATCTGTATGCTGTGCAAATAATGCAAGATGCTGGATTATATGAAGAAGAATATGGCAGTAGGATCGGAGGAAGACTCATGAACAACCTGCAATATGCAGAAGATACAACCTTGCTTGCTAAAAACAAAGAGGACTTAAAATACTCACTGATGAAGATCAAAGACCACAGCCCATGGTATGGGTTGTACTTCAATGTTAAAAAAAAAAAAATTTTTTTTAAGTCCTTATGACAGGACCCATAAAAAACTTCAAGGTAAATAAGAGCAAAGATGTTGTAGTTGTTGTTGTCAGGTGCCATCGAGTCGGAACTAACTCATAGCAACCCCATGCACAACAGAACGAAACAATGTCCGATCCTGGGCCAACGTCACTACCGTTGCCACACTTGAGTCCATCAATGATGCCACCTGGCCAATCCATCTCGTTAGGGGTATTCCTCTTTTTCTCTGACCCTCCACCTTACCCAACATGACATCCTTCTCCAGCTACTGTTCCCTCCGTACAATATGTCCAAAGTAGGAGACACGAAGCTTAGCCATCTTGGCCTCCAAGGAGCACCCCAGCTGCACTTCTTCCAAAACAGATCTATTGGTTCTTCTGGCAGTCCATGGCACTTTCAGTATTCTCCTCCAACACCACAACTCAAAGGCATCAATTCTTCTACGATCTTCCTTACTCACTGTCCAGCTTTC